CTACCAGTGTCTTCCAGCTGGGGGGCATTCACCTTCCAAGTGCCAAATAGGGAGGGATCGGAAACAAGTTCAGGTAAGGAGGCTGGCAAAGAACATGGATACATTAGGCACTTGAGTGAAGTAGCAGATCCACCATGGAAGGATGGATTCTGTAACAAGAGGATGTCAGACACCAAAGTTAAGGGGTGGGAATGATATTTGGCATTTAAGAGGTGTTTTCCAGTCTTTATTTATTTTTTATCACTCAATCAGTCAGTTGATTTTAACAATACCATATTTAGATTGTTGCCTTAATTATCAATATGTATGTCATGTATTATTTTTGAGAGGGATAATCTGTTATGCAAGGGAAGAGTTGTCTGCCTCCCCTTAGTATGGTAAAAAAATAATATTATTCAAATACAGTTACATAAGATACACCTATCAATTACTTACAAAAATACAACTCATACATTTATATTCCTCAACAGACAGGTCCCGAGAAGCAACTCCAGGCGTAGATGTGGATTCTTCAGACGAAGAGGCAGAAGAGGAAATTGAGGATGAAGAAGAGGACTTTGAACTTTCTCAGGACTTCAAAGGAATAGATTTAGCCTCGGATTATTGCCCACAGAAGCCGAGAATGGAGGAACTGGTGAAATTAGCCCACTTGTTCCCTGAGCTTTTCAACTTCCGTATTGCTAGTGGTACAAGGTTTAAGGAAGTCGCAGTTCCAATCAGAAGAGGTATGTAGAATATGTCTGTTACTCTTTTTTTGTTACACATATGAAAGCAGGTCTTTGTATATTCATTTAAATAATGACAATAGCAGTGATCTTTAAATTTATATTTTTGTTTGATTAATTCATGAAGGATAATCCAACTAAGTAAAAAAATTCACCTAGCATTTCTCTTTTCTTTAATTTTTTCTTAGTACTTTGTTCTACATTAATGTTCCAACTACATTTCAGGTGCCCTTAATGATGTAATCCCAGAGAGCCACAATGAGCGTTACATCAGAGCCTCAGACTGCACGCGGAGTATTATTAACTTTGTCAAAGTGGCCTATCCTGACATGGTTGGTGCTCGTGGCCCAAGTCACTTAGAGGAGCTCTATGAGAAGGACAGAAGAGTGTGCAGGCAAGTTTTGAAGTGAGAGAGGGAGGGAGGGGGGAGAGGAGGAGAGGAGAGAGGGGAGAGAGGGAGAGAAAGAGGGAGAAGGAGAAGGAGAGGAAGAGGGAGAGAGAGAAAGAAGGCTGGACTTTTTCAGTTATATTTCTTTTAGTCGGGAAATATTGGTTTAGACAATAATTCAAAGATGTATTCCATTAATATTCTTGTTTCATTTTTATGAATTATCTCATCAGATTTTGCTCAGACTAGTTTGAGTTACCTAAATCTCTTCTATTCATCATTTTTTTGTCTCTCTTCTTTCAGCATTATTCTCACATACCATCAAATCTCTTCCTGAAATGAGAAGATATTATGGGCACTACTAATTGATAAACATTTTTAGTGGTGTGACTGAAAGGAATACTCTAGTGCACTATAGGTCTCCTATTGATTTAGATATATATATTACAACATGAATAACCTCAGCATTTTATCCACATCATTAGAATATCACCTATCTACTGCAACAGGCAGAGTAACAGCACACAATTTATCTCTATTATCCTATCTTCCTATTTTCTATCTCTTTTCTATCTCTTAACCACACACACACATACAACGACACATTACGAGGGCAAACTGTACGCAGCCGAACATACAATTATTGTGTCGATACAAAAGTAGGGGTAAACATATAAATTATATATGGGCACATGCTCGACAACACTATACTATCAGCCTGCTAGAGAGTTTTAACAAATCAGAACCCACGAAGAGGTATTCTTAATAACCCAATATGGGGAACGGGTCTTGTTTATTGAATCTCCAGTGAAACTTAGAACTATACTGTCGACATGGGAGTCTTGACCGAAGAATCTCATTACCCAAGGAATAACTATTACCATATTGCATTAACCACATTTTTTTTCTCGATCCTCTCCCGTCGACGACCTAAGCAGGGTGCATTTAATCACTTAAGCAGGCTTAGATGTATTTACTATTTCTCTTCTGTCATTTTATTTTGTATAATTTTTCTTATATTTCTCATCTCTATCATTGGGAAGGAGTTAAGTAATAACATAGTTATGCTTATATCTTATAGCAACTATATTATCTCATACTGTTATCAATTTTATATAAATACAAACATAATTATCAGTATCAGTGGAAGATATATAAACAACTGAGTTCATGTTATTTGAGAATACACTGTATTATATAGTATATATTCGATCTCACTCAGTTATTATATTTCACATAATTAATATAAATAAATAATATACTCTACTAGTGGAAAAGTTTAATTATAGATATAACAATTTAACGTGACTATTTACATAAAAGCATCCTATTAGCTGTATATTCGTCCATCTATACTACTGTTTATATGCCACATGAACATATATATTTCTATATTTATCTCATACATACACTCACTAAATGCACTAAAAGATTACCATCGCACAAACGACTACGCTTTTTCAAAAACCACTAAATTTCACACTTCACTCAATTCTGTTTATACACACTATTAGTATTATTTTTATATGTTCTGACTATTTGTATTTACTTCGCCATCGTTTAGGTATAAAGTGCATATAAATTGGATCAAAGATCACTCCTCTATCATCAGTTCCTCCTCCCTCATACCAATCTTAACTATTGGCAGTAACGTGGTCCTGTGGTGGCCATAGAACTTTTTGTCAGTCATCACCACGTGATATAAACGATAGCAAGGTGTCTGGCAATTTTTACAGTGTTGTTATAATATTCGCTCTCACTAATTTAATGCAATGTACGTGGACGTGATCGTAGAAAGGGAGCGTGGCAAATTCTTAAGCTGGCATAGAGGAAACAAGGGTGGTGTGCCTTATTGATTCTTGAAGACATATTTTACTCTCACCTATAGGATCATTTGACCACTCAAATTATGTTTATTATAGAAATTGTGTTTTTGATGTGTTGCTTGTTAGTGGTCTGTTTGGTTCATGTGTGTGTATGTAACTCGTTAGATAATGTAATATAACATACATATAGTATGATATATTGCACTATATTATCATATGTTTATAATATCTTCCAATACATGTGTTTTTAAGTAAATAATGGTTTTGTTTATATCTTTAGTTCTTTGGGATACTTATTTTTATATTTAAGTGCAATAATTAGACATACAAATTAGTTTAAATATTGCCAGTTTATCTTTTTGCTAGATCTCTGGGCAACTGGGATGAGAAACGTGGTTGGCAAAACGTGACGCGCTTACAGTACCTAGCACTTGAAATTTTTGAATCACGAGGTTTGAGAGTGGCAATCTTATAACTGTATAGAGTAAATTATCAATGAGTGAAAGTATCTGTGATAGGTCTTTTATTGGTTTTTATGATTGACTTTATATTCATGATATTTTTAATTGTTTTTTATATATAGTGTGGTTAATGCACTTTTTTTTTACCTATTATTAATATTACATGAATTGATAATCAATATACCATAATACATAATATATATATATATATATCTAATATATATTTCATTCGTAGCTTATTTTTTACTCCACTATATTATTATCACTTTATTTAGCGTTTAGTGGTGGATTATTACTATGTTATAGAGTTTATATATAGTATACTATGTTATTAAGAAAGGTATTAAAAATGTTATATTATAGTCTTTTACCATTGCATATGGTGTGGCTGTTAGTTGTGATAGGTGTTGTATTTATATGTATATGTGAGAGTAATATGATTTTTGATTAAATATCCTAATAATAAATGCTTAGATACTATATATATATAAGTCAAATAACTATTACTCACACATTACACCTATATATATATGTATATGTATAATACTCTACATATTTAGTGAGTTATATATATACTTACTTCGATAGTCTAAGTCAATATGGATAATAACCTACATACAGCCATAATATAGTTTACAATATTATATAAATAACAATGAAAAGCCAAATAGTGAATTATTATATATGTAACTCGAATATAATATATATTATAATATGGTAATAGTTTACGTGATTCCATGAAAATATTAATAATTATGTGGTACCTACTACTGTATGTTATTTACTATATAGTATATACTTTACTATAATCCCTATTATCACTATATATACCCAACTCCTTACTTAATCCCATACTCATTATTACTTATTATAGTGGCTGGAGTGAGCTATTACCTCACTCCACTATACTCTCTACCTTAACCTTATTACTATTCTCCTTTCTTCACCTCCTACACCCACTTATCTTTTATTATACAATATTTCACTTCGCTCTCATCCTCCTTACCTATTATATATACTCATTATCCATTCTCCTTCATTACATTACTCTTTTACACTCCCATACTCTCATACTCATCTACCTTCCTGAGTGGTGTACTCGTCATCTATTCGTATCTCATTCCTTCATTCACTTTACCTTCACTCTATATCTCGTCAGTCATCCTCCAACCCATATCTGTCTCTACACAATATAGGCTTATTACTCTCTCTACTTATCTTCTATTCATCTCTTACTCTTCACTCTCACTAGTCTCTCACATTCATCTATATATCTATATCTCTCTCTCTCTTCTCTCTCGTCGATACATATCTATCTCTATGCTTCTCTATCTGTACTCTATCTCTCTTTACCTTCTTCCTCTCTTTGCTCTATTTACTTTATTTATCCTCCACTTCTCCATTCTCTATCCCTTATACACTCTCGTCTCCTTTCCTACCCTTCACTCAATCCCTGATACTTTCTTTAGTTTCTTATAACCTGATTTAAGTACCATCACTCCCACTTTGCCGTACCGTTGGCGAGCTGTGTGAGGAACGTACCCTCCCTCCGATCACTTCAGGATGCCATTCTGTGTTATAGTTTAGTTATGTAGGTTTATGATTGTTGTTGATTTGTTTTAGTTAGTTTGATTGTTGTATCACCTATCTTCCTTCCTTCTTACACTATCATCTTCTTCTATTATTCTTCTTATCTTTCTTTCTTTCTTTCATTATCTTCTTCTTAACTATACTTTTTTCTTCTTCTTCTTACTCTACTTCTTTAACTTACTCACTATTTATATCCTATTCTTCTTATTACTATACTCTCTTTCTATTTATTATATTATTTATTTGATATATTATATACATTATTTTTATATGAACCTTAATTTTAGTTTTTATGTTTAATCATTATCAATATGCATCTGTATCATAACCATTATATTTTATCATTGACCTCTCTAGAGGGATATATGTCATATTGATAATTTTCAATATTCTAAAAATTATGAGTATTGGCATATAGATTGCTTATTAATAGACACACTATAGAGATTGCCATGTAATTATATCATATTTATACTTTTACTCAGACATATTTCACATGTGCGATTTTCTTTATACAACTACGATGATAAACTTTACACTCCACTTTAATCATTAGGATGGGAGAGTTCTTCTTTTCCTTTATATCTTTGTCCAATTCAGCTGATAAAAGAGTTTTCACCCATCACAATCCACTCCCTGTAAAAAATGTCTTTCTACCTCCGACTCTACTAATATAGCATATGAGAGATCATTATAGACTAATAATAATGATATATAGCATATTGTTCTCGATATTATAGAGTTTGAGAGTAATGTAGAATCCTAAGATGAGTGAGTGTATGTAGATAATTTATCTTCATTTCGCATATGCTCTAGATATTATTGAGTTTACATTTGCTCCTATACTATCGGCAGACAGATGAGCACTGCGTGGAGGCAAAAATGAGAATATTGAGTGTGTCTCTCGTACCTAATACACCATCTCACTCTGCTCAATTATAGTGTACACTCTGTATATCATTCGCTGCTCTACTGAAGAAGATCTATTGCCTCAAGAACATTATCGAGTAACATGGCTCAGACTGCTCTCTCTTTCCAAGGCGCAGCGAGCGAGGCGAGTACCATCCAAGCAATTCATTTCTCAGAGTGAGCAATCGAGTGAAAGATAGATTTACAAATAAATATTTATTATTATACAGTATTGTGATCTCAGTGACCCAGACTGAGTAATGTGTACTTATATCTTTCTATTGCTGGGGAGTGGAATTAATTTACGTTTTTTTTGCATTTAGTCGAACTGAAAACATTGCATTGTTAGTTCTACATATTGACGCGGCTAACGGATTACTGCGGGTCGTGATTTGATGTACACATAGTGGCTCTGGAAATCGGTGATCTCAACAGGATTTTATATGCGCGGACATAGAATGATTTTAAAATACATGAACTCAGCGTGAGCCGGTGAGAAAGTTTACCCGAAGAACCTTAACTCAGTGGTTCCGCGTACGGAGAGAATTTGAACATCATATACATTTTTAGTCGGTGTGTGAGTATCTAACAAATCTCTAATTCTAATAGATAAATGCAGCTCTGGGTAATATATAATCACTAAGGATGTTTGCCAGATGTATATTTACGCCATATAGTATTTCTATAAACGTACATAATAACGTTATATATAGATTCATCTAATAACGGTCTATTGAAAGTAGCTTTTAATAGTCATTGAGAAGTTAGGTCATATGTTGTCGAATATATGTACTAAATAGTGATTAGAAAAAATAGGCTAAAGTCATGCATAAATAACGCTGGGATCAGCTTTTACAGCCGCTCACACACCCACTATCACTCTAATTCAATGAGCATACTAACACACATATTTATCACAGTTCTTTTATCACATTTACCTCAAGCTAACTCATATATTAACTTGTTTTGTCATTTTTAAAATTGAATAGATCATAAACTTTATTAAATCAAGTGATACTAAACACTACTTATGCAGGTTTGAATGGCATTCCATATATCACCTGACAATAATATACTCATTACAAGTACTTACGTAATATCTACTCATGATTAAGGTTTGTATCCTATAACTCATACTTCTCTTCAATATAAGGCATGAAGCGTTTCGTAGTGTGGTTCGTGTGTGTGTGTGCTGTGTTGGTGTTGGATGCCAATATGTATGAGAGCGCGTCGTAAGATGGGTGTACTTGTGTGTGGAGATTGTCATGTAGTGTCTCTATATAGTTGATAGTATCAAAATTATGTACTACACGCTCTATATCTTCACATCGATATAACAATCAACTATTTATCTATACAACACACAATAATCTCTACTACTTACTTTACCATGGGATAATACGTCTATATAAATGTTTTATGTCACTTGTCTCTCACTGTTGCGTGTCTTCTAAATATAGAAGTACTGGTACATACCTCAAGTTGGTGCACTTTTATGAGATATCTAAGTGCATCTTTCATCTGTATTGCTATAGGTGGTCGTTCGTGGTCTACTCCTCGAGAGTGGCTTTATGAACGCTGGAGTCATGACGTGCTCCTAAAGTTTTTGATATGTATATCCTCTACATAATCTTATTACACTCATGATTGCAGGTAATGTTGACCGAGTAATAATTTTTTTGGGATTTATATTATGCTTATGCTTTACTCACCTGGTGAGTTTGCGTCTTAGATCACGTTAGATATTGTGTGCGTACTGAGGTTTTTGTCTACGAGTTAATGTATTTTCTTCACGTTATTGTTATTCATGTTGTGATTTACACTAGGAATTTAATTATAAAGATAATATCTTGGTGATATATTATCTGTTAGTATTTGGTTTCGATGGGTCACAATCCTCTAGCTATACCAATTCTTTCTTAGAAATGGAATAGGTATAAGACCTTAATTGGCACTCAAACTGACTATGCAATATAAATAACGGTGAGATCTTTTACTCATCGAACTTCTCATCTCGTCAACTAGAATGGGAGATAATAATATTATATTATTATTACTTTTTAATAGGCTATACCTCATAGAAATATCTCATATCAAGCCACTAGATAAGACGTTATCCATAGATATCGAGGTGAGAGGTCAAGATTGTAGATCTTACTCTGTGACTGATAAGTGCAGGAGTATATACCAGTCCTTTAATGATATAGGCCACTCGAGGGTCTCTGCGATATGTGGCACTCATATCGCGATGAGCAACTCGGGGAAGTCCAATACTCTCGCATTCCATCCAGCTACAACTTATTGACATTTTTAATACTATAAAAAAGACAAATTGTGAGGTGTAAATTACAGCTAGTACTTAATTAATTTATGTAGGTGTTGATGAAAGTAGAGTGCACGTATCATATATAGTATTAGGTATGTAAACAATTAGTACATTGTGGTCACCTTGTGTTCTTAGCATATTATGTGTCCTAGCTCCTCTCGTACATTGTCTCTAAAGATGTCTCGCTTGTTATATTAATTACTCACATTATTATCTTTATGTTTTTATTTGATATGAATAGAGAAACAATGACATTAATCTCTATATATCCATAATACGACATTAATTCACTCTCGTGTGTGGAGAGTGAAAATAAAATTTAGATATATGATATTTCTGTGTTATTTTTAAGCATATAAGTATTTTATCTTACTGATATAGTCATCTTTTGATATCATTAATGCGCTCCATTGATTAAACAAGAAATCCATATCGTTACATATTATCTGCGATAACACTTATCTTATTCTATGCACTTTCTATGTGTGAGTGCAATATAACTCACATCAATCAACTAGCACTAGTTATTAACTTCTCTGTTACTGCATCTCTATTCTTACTCGTTCTCAAGTTCGCTCATACAGACCTCTTCACAAGACTCTATCTGACTGCAAACTCCGTTGGTTATGAAGACAGGAACACAGGGCAAAGCTCTAGATAGATTGGCGTCATCTGGTTCTGCACTACACGATACGTGAGATGTCTGTACATGTTACCTCTGAAGAGTCTAAGCAATGCCAATATTCCACTTGGTCTGATCATCGAGACGGTATGGACACTTCGACATATTTCGCTCGCTGGTTAGGTGATGAGATACGCCATTATTGTACGTGCATCACTACGGTCTCACCACTTTATTAGCCGCATTGAGAACTCTCATTGCTATGATAGACTCTGAGCCATGCTCATCACTATAACTTTCGGAGAGGTAGGCGCTCATATCACCACACGATCTGTGCTCAAAAGAGGCTAGAGTGATCTACGTCAGATTGCAAGCTGAGATACTATGAGGAGCTGAGTTTGTTATGAGCTGTTTTTGCAGGTGTATATGGCTGATTTATAGGCAAATAGGTATTGTCACTCTTCAGACAGTGATAGAGGTCGCAGAGAGTGTGAGATAGAATACGCTCTTGAGTTCGTGTGTACTGATTGTGTTTGTGTGATGATCTCAGGTGAGATAGTTCGATTGTTAAGCTAGTTGGTGTGTATAGCATGATCTGTGTGATTGTCGGTAGTGTAGATGTCTAGCTGCTGATAGGATTGTAGTGGTAGGCTCGACTCAGAGGTCACCAGATGATAGCTGGATTTGATGTAGGAGAGGCTTTGCAGGCTATGTCTCTTTATGCTAGACTCATCACTTACACATCATGATGTAGTTATACATAGAACTTCTTGACATAAGACTATCGTAGCTATGAATTTAACGCAAAACGTTAATTAAGATAACCGGCGAGTTCGAGATATTCACTATATTAGATCGATAAAAGGAGAATACAAGAAGAACTTCTACCTCATGTAGTCTCTCCTTGTAGGTGCATGTCTCACAGAAATAGTTTGCCAAAGTGACCAAAAAAATAAAAAGCGATTTCTAAGTGATAGTATTTATCTCTCTTTTTGAATACATATAACCACCTGAAAAAATGAACAGGACAGTCACTAAAATTGTCGTTTTTTGCTTCTCTTTCTGTTGTCTCTTCGTCTAGCTTTCGAGTCAATGGTGTAAAGTGAAAAGCGAACGAGAAATCACATGGATGGTATAAACTGAGGCGTCGAAGAACCAAAAATAAAATTAACTTTTCTTAATATCTTTGACTTATTTCTTTTTCCAGGAATATTGTGGCACGCAAGCTCATTTTTTGCAGCATGATTTGAGAAGGAAATGTCAAAAGCTAACCATAAAACAAGATGTGGACAGAGAAAAAAACGCGATAGTTGATGAGGTATTTAGATGAACAAATGTAATGCTAAGTGTAACCGTCTAAATAGACAAAAACGCCAATTAATCGATCATGATGTGCAAACGCATCCGGCGAATTTTCAATACTAATGACAGGCTAACACGGAGTAGAAAGAAGTACAAAGACAACATGTTTCTATAAAATATTTGTGGTACTGGCATGAGGGTTAGAGTTAAGTAGCTATGGTAGATGAAGGGTGGTGACTGGTGACCGGCCTTTTCATTTAGATTTTACTAGTACTTAATCGCTTGAATATTTTATAATGGATGTGATAATGTGTATATATGTGGTAGGGATATAATGTAGGTATATTATAATCTTAAAAGGAGTACTACCATAGTCACTGAATAGGAGTATTCTCATACTGTCTTGGCCTCCAGTATATAATATATAAATAGTTCATCTACACTGTATATTGTGGTTCGCGTGTGATATAGCTGCATATTATATTAGACTCACTACTTGTGGCTAAATATAAACAATACACACACGCACACACACATCCTCGGAGTATCACAAAACAAGCTATCCTGCTCCTGTCGCACATCAACGACACACACAACACACATCACACACACATGAGGTGCACTGCAGCAAGAAGGAATTACCGCACTGCACTCTACAAGCATACACTCACTAATCACATCACTAGTGATAACCGTTTCGTCTGTTCGGGGATGCGATTTCCCTGCGCCGCAGATCCGTGGGGGGGCGGCCAGTAAGAGTCCATATACTTCGTTTTTTTTCAGCCACATCACTCACAAAAGGTATGTTGTGCAACCAGGGTTGCCACGATCCTAGCGCCATGGTAGGGTTTTTACGACTAACTACCTCATACCAGTTGAGTAGTTATAGCGGTATTGCTTATATCAGAGGGGACAACACAAGTCCCCGTGAGCATTCGGGACTGTATGGAAAGCAGGATTGATAACACTCCAAAATCTGATAAGCCTGAGGTATATTAAACTGAATGAATGGAAATATGCGGCTCTACCCTGCGCATTTTATCATGAATGGGCATCCTCTCTTTCGTTTGGTGTTCGTGTGTTGGGATCGATGCCCGCGACCCGCAGTATCGCCTCGCTATTCGCCACTCTAGTCGCATTCACTCCAGCCTCATGCAAAGGATTGTGCAAAAGGTGCAGATCTAGGCGGCCGATGGGTAGGAGTAATGGATAGAGTGGCCGCCTCACGGGATACCTCGTGCGCGTCGTCGATGTTGATCGCGCAGAGAGGGTTTATATATCATGATGGAAACGAATGCCGGTTAGTCATCATTGCGAGCTCCATCTTTTTGGCGCTATGATGATATATAATACTTATCGAGTACTATTGGATGAGTAGTATGAGTAGTGACTATAGTAGCGATGTGATGCCACTATATATACTATATAGTAGTATAGGTATTAGAATAATATAAGTATATGTATTTAGGTATATTATATAGTATATTATATATAGAATATCACGTATATGAATTGTAGGTGAATGAACTTTTATTGCATATATATACTTAATATATAGTATAAATATCATGATATATATATATATATTATACTATATATATATATAATATATAATATATATAGATACACACACACGAGCACACACACCAAGCACACACACACTATAGGATCACACACTACACAGGCACAACACACACACATGTGCAAGGCACATGTTCATATTCACACACACACACACACAACCAGCATTTGGCAGCGCCACCCTCCGATATTGCGGGTGCAGTCCTCGCTGCTACACTTGCTTGTGCTGTGTCAGCGCGCGTCACCACTCACCATGATGAGACACTTGCTGGAGTACGGAAATGAAAAATAGTAGTAACGTCTTCAAGATAGTGACCATGAATACTATCTTAGGGCGTTAAGAAGATCGAGCTACTATTTAGCTGGTGAAACGGGAATGCCAGCATATTGACTTATGATAGTGTTATGCTGTTCGAATATGGGGATAATGCCCATATAGAAAATTAGAACTGTTCCTCATGAGTGAGTGTTATGATTAGATAATTGACCTCATTTTAGAATTAATAGACAGTGGCATACGTAATATTAAGTCTAATCCATAAGCAATAGAAGAAGATAGTAATATTAGAGGTATATATTTATATATATCTTTTGAGTGAGTTAGTTTATATTCAGTGTTGATACTTCTTATATTATACTTTGCTCATTCATGTTAATTGTGTTTTGTTTAATATGATTACTTACTTATATATATATATATATATACTCACATTAATTGATATAAATAATAATATAAAGTTATTAAAGATATATTATAGTTAATGGTGATA